GGCTGGCTGGCTGGCTCAGCACGCCGCTGGCTGGCTGGCTGGCTGGCACTGCTGGCTGGCTGGCTGGCACAGCTGCGCTGGCTGGCACGCTGCTGGCTGGCTGGCTGGCTGGCTGGCTGGCTGGCTGGCACGCTGGCACGCTGGCTGGCTGGCTGGCTGGCTGGCTGGCTGGCTCGGCTGGCTGGCTGGCTGGCTGGCTGGCTCTGGCCTGCTCCCACTGGCTGGCTGCTCTTGCTGGCTGGCTGGCTGGCTCGCTGGCTGGCTGGCTGGCTGGCTGGCTCGCTGGCTGGCTGGCACAGCTGCTGGCTGGCTGCGCTGCTGGCACAGCTGGCTGCTGCTGGCACAGCTGGCACAGCACAGCACAGCTGGCTGGCCTGCTTCTGCTTCTTCTTCGCTGCTTCTTCTTGTGCTGCTCTTGCTGCCTGGCTGGCTGGCTGGCTGGCTGGCTGGCAGCCGCTGGCTGCTGGCTGGCTGGCTGGCTGGCAGCTGGCAGCTGGCTGGCTGGCTGGCTGGCTGGCTGGCTGGCTGGCTGGCTGGCTGGCTGGCTGGCTGGCTGGCTGGCTGGCTGGCTGTGGCTGGCTGGCTGGCTGGCTGGCTGGCTGGCTGGCTGGCTGGCTGGCTGGCTGGCTGGCTGGCTGGCTGCTGCTGCTCTTTTCGCTGCTGGCTGCTTCGCTGCTGGCTGCTTCTTCGCTGTGCTGCTGCTGCTCTCGCTGCTGGCTGGCTGGCTGCTGGCTGGCTGGCTGGCTGGCTGGCTGGCTGCTGGCTGGCTGGCTGGCTGGCTGCTGGCTGGCTGGCTGGCTGGCTGGCTGCTGCTGCTGCTGGCTGGCTGGCTGCTGGCTGGCTGGCTGCTGCTTCGCTGCTGCTGCTTTGCTGGCTGCTGGCTGCTGGCAGCACAGCAGCACAGCTGGCTGGCTCGCTCAGCTGCTTCTTGCTTCACTGCTTCTGCTTCTGCCTGCTTGCTGCTGGCTGGCTCCAGCTGGTTCTTCGCTGCTGCTTGCTGCTTCCTGCTGGCTCGGCTCGCTGGCTGGCTGCTGGCTCGCTGGCTGGCACGCTGGCACAGCTGGCTGGCTGCTGCTGCTGTTGCACAGCAGCTGGCTGGCACGCACAGAAGCTGGCACTGCTGGCTGGCACAGCTGGCACAGCTGCTGCTGGCACAGCTGGCTGGCAGGCACAGCACAGCGGCTGCTGGCACGCTGCAGCTGCTTCGCTGGCAGCTGCTGGCCATGGCACAGCTCAGCTAGCTGGCTGGCAGCTGCTGGCGCAGCTCAGCTCTGGCTGGCTGGCTGGCTGCTGGCTGGCACGCTGGCTGGCTCGCTCGCTGGCTGCCTCGCTGGCTGGCTGGCACAGCACAGCTCGCTGGCACAGCACAGCTGGCACAGCTGGCACAGCACAGCTGGCCCGCGAGCTGCTGCTGGCTGGCTCAGCTGGCTGGCGCTGGCTGGCTGGCTGGCACAGCACAGCTCGCTGGCACAGCTGGCACAGCACAGCACAGCTGGCTGGCTGCTGGCTGGCACAGCTGGCTCGCTGGCACGGCTCGCTGCTGGCTGGCTGGCTGGCTGGCTGGCTGGCACAGCTGGCTGGCTGTGCTGGCTCGCTGGCAGCTGGCTGGCTGGCTGGCTGGCTGGCTCACTTCAGCTGGCTCCTGGCGCTGCTGGCTCGCTGGCTCGCTGCTGCTGGCTGGCTGGCTGGCACAAGCTGGCTGGCTGGCGCACCTGGCTGGCACTGCTGGCTGGCTGGCTCTGGCTGGCCGCTGGCTGCTGCTGCTGGCTGGCTGGCTGGCTGGCTGGCTGCTGGCCTGGCTGAGCTGGCTTGCTGGCACTGCGCTTGCTGCTCTGCTGGCTGGCTGGCTGGCTGGCTGGCTGGCTGGCTGGCTGGCGCTGGCTGGCTCGCTGGCTGCTGGCTGGCTGGCTGGCTCGCTCTGGCTCAGCTGGCTGGCACACTCTGGCTGGCTGGCTGGCTGGCTGGCTGGCTCGCTCTGGCTGGCTGGCACAGCTGGCACAGCACAGCTGGCCAGCTGGCACAGCTGGCTGGCTGGCACAGCTGGCCGCTGGCACAGCTGGCTGGCACAGCACAGCACAGCACAGCTGGCTGGCTGGCTGGCTGGCTGGCTGGCTGGCTTGCTGCTTGCTGCTTCTTCGCTGCTTGCTGCTTGCTGCTTGCTGGCTGGCTGGCTGGCTGGCACAGCTGGCTGGCACGCTGCTGCTGCTTCTGCTGCTTCGCTGGCTAGCTGCTTCGCTGCTTCGCTGGCTGGCTGGCTGGCTGGCTGGCTGGCTCGCTGCTTCTTGGCTGGCACAGCACAACAGCTGGCACAACAACTACAGCTGGCTCCAGCTGTGGCTCAGCTGCCGCTTTTCGCTCGCACGCACGCACGCAGCACAGCTCGCTCGCGCTGCACGCAGCAGCTGGCACAGCTGGCTGGCACGCTGGCACAGCAGCAGCACAGCAGGCACAGCACAGCTGGCGTGGCTGGCACAGCTGCTGGCTGCTCGCTGCTTCTTCTTAGCTGGCACACAGCTGGCACAGCTGGCCTTGCTGCTGCTGCTCGCTGGCTGGCTGGCACATGGCTGGCTAGCTGGCTGGCACAGCTGGCTGGCTGCTGCTGCTGGCTGCTGCTGCTGCTTGCTGGCACAGCTGGCGCTGGCAGCTGGCTGGCACAGCCAGCACAGCTGGCTGGCTGGCACAGCTGGCACAGCACAGCACAGCTGCTGGCACAGCTGGCACAGCTGGCTGGCTGGCTGGCACAGCAGCTGGCTGGCACAGCACAGCTGGCACGGCAGCTGGCACGCTGGCTGGCTGGCTGGCACAGCTGGCTGGCTGGCTGGCACAGCTCAGCTGGCTGGCACGCTCGCTGGCTGGCACAGCTGGCTGGCTGGCTGGCTGGCTGGCTGGCTGGCTGGCTGGCTGGCTGGCTGGCTGGCTGGCTGGCTGGCTGGCTGGCTGGCTGGCTGGCTGGCTGGCTGGCTGGCTGGCTGGCTCGCAGCCTGGCTGGCTGGCCTGGCTGGCACAGCTCAGCACACAGCACAGCTGGCTGGCACAGCTGGCTGGCTGGCACCAGCTGCTGGCACACTCGCTGTGGCTGGCTGGCTCATCGCTGGCTGGCTGGCTGCTGGCACAACCAGCACAGCTGCTTCTTCACTCAGCACACTCAGCTGGCACAGCTGGCACAGCTGGCTGGCCTGGCACAGCTGGCTGGCACAGCACAGCTGGCTGGCTGGCTGGCTGCGCTCAGCTGGCTCAGCTCAGCTGGCTGGCACAGCTCAGCTGGCTGGCCTGGCTGGCTGGCTGGCTGGCTGGCTGGCTCAGCTGGCTGGCTGGCTGGCTGGCTGGCTGGCTGGCTGGCTGGCTGGCACGGCTGGCTGGCTGGCTGGCTGGCTGGCTGGCTGGCTGGCTGGCTGGCTGGCTGGCTGGCCTGGCTGGCTGGCTGGCTGGCTGGCTGGCTGGCAGCTGGCTGGCTGGCTCAGCTGGCTGGCTGGCTGGCTCGCTGCTGCTCGCTCGCTGGCTGCGCTGCTGCTGGCTGGCAGCTGGCTGCTTCAGCTGGCACACTGCTGCTAGCTTCTCTGGCTGGCTGCTTGCTGGCTGGCTGGCTGGCTGCTGGCTGGCTGGCTGGCTGGCACAGCTGGCTGGCCTGCTTCTTCTTCGCTGGCAGCTGGCACAGCACAGCACAGCACAGCACCAGCACAGCACAGCACAGCACAGCACAGCACAGCACAGCTGGCACAGCACAGCACAGCACAGCACAGCACAGCTGGCACAGCTGGCACGGCTGGCACAGCTCAGCTGCTGGCTGGCTCGCTGCTGGCTGGCTGGCTGGCTGCTCGCTGCTGCTGGCACGCGCTGCTGCTGGCTGGCTGGCTGGCTGGCACAGCTGGCTGGCACAGCACGCTCGCTCGCTGGCTGCGCTGCTTCTGCTTCGCTGGCTGGCTGGCACAGCTGGCTGGCTGGCACAGCTGGCTGGCTGGCTGGCTGGCTGGCACGCACGCTGGCTGGCACGCTGGCTCGCTGGCACGCTGGCCAGCTGGCTGGCTGGCTGGCTGGCTGCTTTCTCTGGCACAGCTGGCTGGCTGGCTGGCCAGCTGGCTGGCTGGCTGGCTTTGGCACAGCACAGCACAGCTGGCTGGCACAGCACAGCTGGCTGGCACGGCTGGCTGGCTGGCTGGCTGCTTGCTAAGCTGCTTGCTGGCGCAGCTGCTGCTGCTTGCTTGCTGGCTGCTTCGTGCTGCTGTTTGCTGCTTCGCTGTCTGCTTTTCTTTAGCTGGCTGGCTGGCTAGCTGGCTGGCTGCTGCTTCTTCGCTGCTTGCTGGCTGGCTGCTGGCTGGCTGCTTGCTGCTTGCTGCTGCTGCTGCTGCTGCTTCAGCTGCTGGCTGGCTGCTGGCTGCTGGCACAGCTGGCTCAGCTGCTGGCTGGCTGGCTGGCTGGCTGGCACAGGCACGCTGGCACAGCTCAGCACAGCACAGCTGGCACAGCACAGCAGCTGGCTGGCACAGCACAGCACAGACAGCGCCAGCACGCACAGCACAGCTGGCACAGCTGGCACAGCTGGCACGCTGGCACGCACGCTGGCGCACGCTGGCTGGCTGGCTGGCTGGCTGGCTGGCTGGCTGGCCTGGCTGGCTGGCTGGCTGGCTGGCTGGCTGGCTGGCTGGCTGGCTGGCTGGCTGGCTGGCTGGCTGGCTGGCTGGCTGGCTGGCTGGCTGGCTGGCTGGCTGGCTGGCTGGCTGGCTGGCCTGGCTGGCTGGCTGGCTGGCTGGCTGGCTGGCTGGCTTGGCTGGCTGGCTGGCTGGCTGGCTGGCTGGCTGGCTGGCTGGCTGGCTGGCAGCTCTTTCTTGCTGGCTGCTGCTTCTTCGCTGCTGGCAGCTGCTGCTTGCTGCTGCTGCTTGGCTGCTTCACTGCTGCTGCTTGGCTGGCACCAGCTGGCTGGCTGCTGGCTGGCACGGCTGGCTGGCTGGCTGGCTGGCACAGCTGGCTGGCTGGCTGGCTGGCTGGCTGGCGGCTGGCTGGCTGGCACGGCTGGCTGGCTTGGCTGGCTGGCTGTGGCTCAGCTGGCTTCTTCTTCTTGCTGGCTGGCTCGCTGGCACAGCTGCTGCTTCTTCGCTGCTTCGCTGCTTGGCTGCTGCTGCTGCTGCTGCTGGCTGGCACCTTGCTTCTTCGCTGGCCTGCTGGCTGGCTGGCTGGCAGCTGCTTCTTCTTCTTCTTCTTCAGCTGCTTCTTCAGCACGCACTGCTAGCTGGCTGGCTGGCTAGCTGGCTGGCTGGCTGGCTGCTTCAGCTGCTTCGCTGCTTCGCTGCTGCTGGCTGCTTGCTGCTGCTGCTGCGCTGGCTGGCTGCTGCTGCTTCTGCTGGCTGGCTCTGCTGGCTGCTGCTGGCTGGCTGGCACAGCTGGCTGGCACGCAGCTGGCACTGGCAGCTGGCTGGCTGGCTGGCTGGCACGCTGGCTGGCTGGCTGGCAGCTGCTGCTGCTGGCTGGCTGGCTGTTGCTGGCCTGGCACAGCACAGCTGGCACAGCTGGCTGGCTGGCTTCAGCTGGCTGGCTGGCTGGCTGGCTGGCTGGCTGGCTGGCTGGCTGGCTGGCTGGCTGGCACGGCTGGCTGGCTGGCTGGCTGGCTGGCACGCTGCTGGCTGGCTGCTGGCTGGCTGGCTGGCTGGCTGGCTGGCGCTGGCTGGCTGTGGCTGGCTGGCTGCGGCCTCGCTGGCTGGCTGCTCTTCTTCGCTGCTGCTCAGCTGGCTGGCTGGCTGGCTCAGCTGTCCTGGCTGCGCTGTGGCCTGGCTGGCTGGCTGGCTGGCTGGCTGGCTCAGCTGGCTGGCTGGCTGGCTGGCTGGCTGGCTGGCTGGCACGCTGGCCAGCTGGCTGGCTGGCACAGCTGGCTGGCTGGCTGGCTGGCACGCTGGCTCGCTCAGCTGGCTCGCTCGCTGGCTGGCTGGCTGGCTGGCTGGCTGGCTGGCTGGCTGGCTCAGCTGGCTGTGCTTCTTGCGCAGCTGCTTCGCTGCTGGCTGGCCTGGCTGTGCTGGCTGGCTGGCACAGCTGGCTGGCTGGCACAGCTGCTGGCTGCTGGCACAGCTGGCTGGCTCAGCTGGCTGGCACGCTGGCACAGCACAGCTGCTGGCTGGCTGCTGGCTGGCTGGCTGGCACAGCTCGCTGCTTCGCTGGCACAGCTGGCTCAGCACAGCAGGCACGGCTGGCTGGCTGGCACAGCTGGCTCGCTGGCTGGCTGGCTGGCTGGCGCCTGCTGGCCTGGCTGGCTGGCACAGCTGGCTGGCTGGCTGGCTGGCTGGCTGGCAAGGCTGGCACCGGCACGAGCGCAGGCTGGCGCAGCTGGCTGGCTGGCTGGCACGCTGGCTGCTGCTGCTGCTGGCAGCTGGCTGGCTGGCACGCCAGCTGGCTGGCTGGCTGGCAGCTGGCTGGCTGGCTGGCTGGCACAAGCTGCTGGCAGCTGGCTGGCTGGCTGGCACAGCAGCGTGGGGCTGGCTGGCAGCAGCAGCTGGCTGGCTGGCTGGCTGGCTGGCTGGCTCGCTGGCTGTCAGCTGGCTGCTGCTGCTGTCGCTGGCTGGCTGGCTGGGGGTGGGCTGGCTGGCTGGCTGGCGGCTGGCTGGCTGGCTGGCTGCTGCTTGCTGCTGGCTGCTTTCGCTGGCGCTGGCTGGCTGGCTGGCTGGCTGGCTGGCTGTGCTGGCTGGCACGGCGCAGCTGGCACGGCTCTGCGCAGCACAGCTGGCTCAGCAGCTGTTTCAGCTGGCTGGCACAGCACAGCACTGCTGGCGCAGCTCTGCCGCTGGCAGCTGGCGCTTGCTCCTGGCTGGCTTGCTGCTTCTGCTGGCTGGCTGGCACAGCTGGCCAGCTGCTGCTGGCTGGCTGCTGGCTGGCTGGCTGGCTGGCTGCTGGCTGCTGGCGCTTTCTTTGGCTGGCTGGCTGGCTCGGCTCGCTGGCTGCTGGCTGGCACGGCTGGCTCGGCGCTGCGGCGGCGGCTGGCTGGCAGGCTGGCTGGCTGGCACGCAGCTGGCACACGCTGGCTGGCACGGCACAGCTGGCTCAGCTGGCACAGCGCAGCTGCCGAGCTGGCACAGCTGGCTGGCTGTTTCAGCTGGCTGGCTGGCTGGCTGGCTGGCACACAGCTGGCTGGCACCGCTGGCTGGCTGGCTGGCTCAGCTGGCTGGCTGGCTGGCTGGCACCGCTGGCTGTTTCAGCTGGCTGGCTGGCTGGCTGGCTGGCTGGCTGGCTGCTGGCTGGCACGCTGGCTGGCTGGCACAGCTGGCTGGCACGCTGGCAGCACGCACCAGCACAGCACAGCTGGCTGGCTGGCTCGGCTGGCTGGCTGGCTGGCTGGCTGGCTGGCTGGCTGGCTGGCTGGCTCGCTGGCTGGCTGGCTGGCTGGCTGGCTGGCTGGCTGGCTGGCTGGCTGGCTGGCTGGCCTGGCTGGCTGGCCTGGCTGGCTGGCTGGCTGGCTGGCTGGCTGGCTGGCTGGCACAGCTGGCTGGCTGGCTGGCTGGCTGGCTGGCTGGCTGGCTGGCTGGCCCTGGCTGGCTGCTGGCTGGCTGGCTGCTGGCTGGCTGGCTCGCAGCTGGCTGCTGCTGGCAGCTGCCTGCTGGCTGGCTGGCTGGCTGGCTGGCTGGCTGGCTGGCTGGCTGGCTGCGCTCGCTGGCTGGCTGGCTGGCTGGCTGGCTGGCTGGCTGCTGGCTGGCTGCTCGCTGGCTCTTCACTGGCTGGCTGGCTGGCTCGCTGCTTCTGGCTGCTGGCTGGCTGGCTCAGCTTGCTGCTTTGCTTTGCTTTGCTTCGCCGCTGCTTTCACTGCTTTGCTTTCTTTCTTTGCTTCTTCTTTCCTTTCCTGCTTTGCTTCTTTCCTTTCTTTCTTTGCTTTGCTTTCTTTGCTTTCCTTTCGCTGCTTTCTTTCAGCTGGCTGGCCTGGCTGGCTGGCTGGCTGGCCTGGCTGGCTGGCACAGCTGGCTGGCCTGGCTGGCTGGCTGGCTGGCTGGCTGGCTGGCTGGCCTGCTTTGCTGGCTGGCTGGCTGGCTGGCTGGCTGGCTGGCCTGGCTGGCTGGCTGGCCTGGCTGGCTGGCTGGCTGGCTGGCTGGCTGGCTGGCTGGCTGGCTGGCTGGCTGGCTGGCTGGCTGGCTGGCTGGCTGGCTCTTTGCTGGCTGGCTGGCTTGCTGGCTGGCTGGCTGGCCTGGCTGGCTGGCTGGCTGGCTGGCCTGGCTGGCTCGCGCTGGCTCAGCTGGCTGGCTGGCCTGCTTCGCTGGCTGGCTGGCCTGCTTTCTTTGCTGGCTTTGCTTTCTTTCGCGCCTGGCCGCTGGCTGGCTGGCTGTTTCTTTCAGCTGCTTCTTTCTTCTTTCCTTTCTTTGCTTCTTCTGCTTCTTTCTTTCTTTCTTTCCTGCTTTCCTTTCTTCTTTCTTCTTTCACTGCTTCTTTCCTGCTGCTTCTTCTTTGCTTTGCTGCTTCTTCTTTCTTTGCTGCTGCTTCTTCTTTCTTTGCTTCTTCTTTGCTTCTTTCTTTGCTTCTTTCCTTTGCTTCTTCTTTCGCTTTGCTTTCCTTTGCTTTGCTGTGCTGCTTTCTTCTTCTTCTTCGCTGGCTGCTGGCTGGCGCTGGCTGGCTGGCTGCTGGCTTCTTCCTTTCTTTCTTCTTCTTCTTTCTTTTGCTTCTTTCTTTCTTCTTTCTGCTTCTTCTTTCTTTCTTTCCTTTCTTTCTTTCTTTCTTCTTCTTCCTTTGCTTCTTTGCTTTGCTTTGCTTTGCTTTGCTGCTTTGCTTTGCTTCCTTTGCTTTCCTTTGCTGCCTGCTGCTTTGCTTTGCTTTGCTTCTTCTTTGCTTCTGCTGCTTTGCTTTGCTGCTTTGCTGCTTTGCTGCTGCTTCTCTGGCTGGCTGGCTGGCTGGCTGGCTGGCTCTGGCTGGCTGGCTGGCTGGCTGGCTGGCTGGCTGGCTGGCTGGCTGGCTGGCTGGCTGGCTGGCTGGCTGGCTGCTGGCTGGCTGGCTCTGGCCGCTGCTTCGCTGGCTGGCTCGCTGGCTGGCTGCTGGCTGGCTGGCGCTGCTGCTGGCAGCCTGGCTGGCTGGCTGGCTGGCTGGCTGGCTGGCTGGCTGGCTGGCTGGCTGGCTGGCTGGCTGGCTGGCTGGCTGGCTGGCACAGCTGGCTGGCTGGCTGGCTCGCTGGCTGGCCTGGCTCACTCAGCTGCTTCTGGCTGGCTCTGGCTGGCTGGCTGGCTCAGCTGGCTGGCTGGCTGTGGCTGGCTGTTTCAGCTGGCTGGCTGGCTGGCTGGCTGCTTTCGCTGGCTGCCCTGGCTGGCTGGCTGGCTGGCTGGCTGGCTGGCTGGCTGGCTGGCTCGCTGGCTGCTCTTCCTTTCTGGCTGGCTGGCTGGCAGCGCTGGCTGGCTGGCTGGCTGGCTGGCTGGCTGGCTGGCTGGCTGGCTGGCTGGCTGGCTGGCTCCGGCTGGCTGGCTGGCTGGCTGGCTGGCTTCTGCCGCCTTTCTTCTTCTTCTTTGCTTCTTCTTCACTGCTTCTTTCTTCTTCTTTCACTTCTTCACTTCTTTCTTCTTCTTCTTTCTTCACTGCTTCTGCTTCTTTGCTTCTTCAGCTGCTTCTTCTTCGCTCGCTTCTTCGCTCGCCCTGCTTCTTCAGCTGCTTCTTCTTCTTTCTTCTTTGCTGCTGGCTGCTTCCGCTGCTTCTTCTTTGCTTCTTCTTCTTCTTCTTTGCTGCTTCTTCTTTGCTTTGCTTCTTCTTTGCTTCTTCTTCTTCTTCAGCTTCTTCTTCTTCTTCACTGGCCTTGCTTTTCTTCTTCTTCTTCTTCTTCTTTCTTCTTTGCTTGCTGGCTACTGCTTCTTTCTTCTTTCTTCTTTCTTCTTCTTTCTTCTTCTTCTTCTTTGTTTCTTTGCTTCAGCGCTGCTTTGCTTGGCCAGCTGCTTCCTTTGCTTTGCTTCTTCTTCTTTGCTTCTTTCTTCTTCTTTCTTTGCCGCTTGCTTGCTGCTTCTTTGCTTCTTCTTCTTTGCTTCGCCTGCTTCTTCGCTGGCTTCTTCTTCTTTGCTGCTTCTTCTTTCTTCCTGCTTCGCTTCTTTGCTTGCTTCCTTTCAGCACCTGCTGCTTCCTGCTTTGCTTCCTTCTTCTGCTTCTTCTTTCCTGCTTCTTCTTTCTTCTTTGCTTCCTTCTTCCTGCTTCTTTGCTAGCACTGCTAGCTTTTCTTTGCTTCCTGGCTGGCTTCGCCGCGCTGGCTGCTTCTTCTTCCTTTCGCTGCTTCCTTCCTTTGCTTCTTTGCTTCTTGCTTCTTCCTTCTTTGCTGCTTCTTCTTCTTCTTCGCCTGGCTCAGCACGCACAGCTGCCTTCTTCTTTCTTTCTTCCTTTCTTTCTTTCTTTCCTTCCTTTGCTTCTGCTTCTTCTTCTTCTTCTTCTTCGCTTCTTTGCTGCTTCTTCTTTGCTTCTGCTTCTTTCTGCTTCGCTTCTTTCTTCTTCGCTGCTTGCCTGCTTCTTCCTTCTTCTTCTTTTCTTCCTGCTTCCTTTGCTTCTTCAACTGCTGCTTCTTTGCTTGCTTCTTCGCTCCTCTTCTTCTTCCTTTCTTCTTCTTCTTCTCTTCTTCTTCCTGGCTTTCAGCTCAGCTGGCTCAGCTGGCTGGCTGGCCTGGCTGGCTGGCCTGGCCTGGCTGGCCTGGCTGGCTGGCTGGCTGGCTGCTGGCTGGCTGGCTGCTGGCTGGCTGGCCGCTGGCTGGCTGGCTGGCTGGCTGGCTGGCTGGCTGGCTGGCTGGCTGGCTGGCACAGCTGGCTGTTTTTCTGCTGGCTGCTTCTTTCTTTCTTCTTCTTCTTCTTTGCTTCCTTTGCTGCTTTCTTCTTTCTTTCAGCTGGCACGCTGGCACAGCACAGCACAGCACAGCTGCTTTGCTTCAGCACAGCACAGCTGGCTGGCTCGCTGGCTGGCTGGCTGGCACAGCTGGCTGGCTGGCACAGGCTGGCTGGCTGGCTGGCCTGGCTGGCCTGGCTGGCACTGGCTGGCTGGCTGGCTGGCTGGCTGGCTGGCTGGCTGGCTGGCCTGGCTGGCTGGCTGGCTGTGGCTGGCTGTTTTGCTGGCTGGCTGGCTGGCCTGGCTGGCTGGCTGGCTGGCTGGCTGGCCCTTCCTTCTTCTTCTTCTTCTTCTTCTTTCTTTGCTTCTTCTTCAACTGTGCTTGCTTCTTTGCTTCTTCTTCTTCTTCGCTTCTTCTTCTTCTTCTTTCTTCTTCCTTTGCTTCTTCCTTTCTTCTTCTTCTTTCCTTTCTTCTTCCTGCTTCTTTGCTTCTTCGCTTTGCTTCTTCTTGCTGCTTCTTCTTCTTTCTCTGCCTGCTTCCTTCTTCTTCCTTTGCTTCTTTGCTGCCTTTCTTCTTCTTCTTCCTTTGCTTCTTCTTTTCTTCTTCCTTCCTGCTTCTTCTTTCTTCGCTTCTTCTTTTTCTTTCTTCTTCTTCTTCTTCTTCTTTGCTTCTTCCTTCCGCTTTCTTCGCGCGCCGCTGTGGGCTGGCTGGCTGGCTGGCTGGCTGGCTGGCTGGCTGGCTGGCTGGCTTCAGCTGGCTGGCTGGCTGGCTGGCTGGCTGGCTCAGCTGGCTGGCTGGCTGGCTGGCTGGCTGGCTGGCCTGGCTGGCACCAGCTGGCTGGCTGGCTGGCTGGCTGGCTGGCTGTGGCACGGCTGGCTGGCTGGCTGGCTGGCTGGCTGGCTGGCCTGGCTGGCTGGCTGGCTGGCTGGCTGGCTGGCTGGCTGGCTGGCTGGCTGGCTGGCTGGCTGGCTGGCTGGCTGGCTGGCTGGCTGGCTGGCTGGCTGGCTGGCTGGCTGGCTGGCTGGCTGGCTGGCTGGCTGGCCTGGCTGGCTGGCTGGCTGGCTGGCTGGCTGGCTGGCTGGCTGGCCTGGCTGGCTGGCTGGCTGTGGCTGGCTGGCTGGCACAGCGCTGGCTGGCTGGCTGGCTGGCTGGCTGGCTGGCTGGCTGGCTGGCTGGCTGGCTGGCTGGCTGGCTGGCTGGCTGGCTGGCTGGCTGGCTGGCTGGCTGGCTGGCTGCTGGCTGGCTGGCTGGCTGGCTGGCTGGCTGGCTGGCTGGCTGGCTGGCTGGCTGGCTGGCTGGCTGGCTTTTTGGCTGGCTGGCTGGCTGGCTGGCTGGCTGGCTGGCTGGCTGGCTGGCTGGCTGGCTGGCTGGCTGGCTGGCTGGCTGCTTCTTTCTTTCTTCTTCTTCTTCTTCTTCTTCTTTCTTCTTCTTCTTCTTCTTCTTCTTTGCTTCTTCCTTTGCTTTGCTTTGCTTTGCTTTGCTTCTTCTTTGCTTTGCTGCTTCCTTTCCTTTCTTCCTTTGCTTCTTCTTTGCTTCTTTGCTGCTGCTTTGCTTTGCTTCTTTGCTGCTTTGCTTCTGCTTCTGCTTCTTCTTTCTTCTTTGCTTCTGCTTCTTTCTTTCCTTTCTTTCTTTCTTTGCTGCTTCCTTTCTGCTTCTTTCTTCTTTCTTCTTCTAG